GTACTGATTTGAGTTTTGGTAAAGCTGGGCGCGAAACTGAGTCCCAATTTGAGCCTGGATTTGAGTCTGGGTTTGTGTTTTTCTTGGGATTTAAGTACTGATTTGCGTTTTTGTAAAACTGGGCGCCAAACTGACTTCCAATGTGAGTCTGTATATCATTTTTTGGAGGATGTTCCCAAAAAGAAAACCAAATCCAGATTCAAATCCACACTCAAATTGGGACTCAGTTTCGCGCCCAGCTTTACCAAAACTCAAATCAGTACACAAATCCTTAAAAAAAGAACACAAATCCAGACTCAAATTGGGACTTAGTTTGGCGCCCAGTTTTACCCTGTAGGTTCTGCACCCTAGCTACCTAGGTTCCTAGAGCCTAGGCTCCTGGTCGAATCAGAGATTGAATAAAAAACCCTCACCAAGTCACAAAGCAGCAATCACTGAGTCTCTGAGTGTTTTGCTGAGTCCGGATTTGTTTTTGTCCTCCGTTCAACCTTCTGCTATTTGAGTCTCCAGTTGAATGTATTTTTGTGTTTGGTTTTGAGTTCTGGTTTTGGGCTGAGTCTAGGTTTGTTTTTTTGAGTATTTTGTGTTTTGAATTGTTCATCTGTGTGTTAGTTAGGTTTCTTAACCCAAGAGAGTGGGTGTGTATGTGTGCGAAGGGCAAGCCCGCCTCCGTGTGACAAAGAAGGGGCCCTGAAAACTGCTCTGTTCTTGAGCATCTCTCTAGTTTTCCCACAAGCTGCCGACTACCTTCTAGATGGAGGGTCGCTTGACAAAACAGAAGCCTCCAAACCTTGTTCGACTGCTCCGCCCAAAGAAGCCTTCAAAAGGGCAACCTAATAGCGATGGCCCCCACCCTAGTAGTGATGGCCTCCAACCTAATAGCGATGGCCTCCTACCTAATAGCGATGGCCTCCATATTCCCAATTTTCTCAAATCCATGACCGTCTGTGCAATCCCAGTCGCTCCCGCATGCCCAGCTTTGAAGCCGTTTCTGCAAATGTCCTCCAACATTCTGCATCTCTTCATGAAAAGTTTCCAAGCTTGCGGAACGTTTGACAATAAAAGAAACTACGGGTCAAATATGAACCAAAAGTTCGTCCATGCAAAATGCATGCAACTTGATCTCAATGTAAAACCGTACTCGTCTATATATATTGACTTTAGAAGAACTGAAATTGATGAATTTAATATACAAACCCAGCCCAAAAACATCAATATCTTCTAAAATAGAATCATATATATATATATATTATAGTAATAGTAATAACAATAATAAAGCTCGAACAATATCTGCAGGAAGGCCAACAATAAAGTATATTATATAGCTATAACACCTGCAAAAATAGAGCCATCGTTCCAGCAAATCCCCCAAATATGTCAAGCCTTTCATTTCCCTTTCAGCTCCTTTTGCTTGCCTGTTGATTCTTTCGAATTGTAAGGTCCGAGGCCTGCTATTGCAGGAGAGTTCTTTGCCCCAGTTTTATTAGGAGGGGGTTTATTATTGCGATGCGCACACTATGGCAAAGTGCCACGCTCAACAGGACCCATTCTCCAAAAGGTTTCTCCTTGCGATGGTTGAATCTCAAACTATAAAATCACCCTTCACGGGGACAAATGTTGGAGGGAAATCGGATCTTGTCTTGTTTTCATAAGTGTCTACCATCTTGGTCCTCCACCGTCTGCCCAAAAGGGATTTCAGCAACAGGCAGCCACGCATGAAGCTGCAAAAGCCTCAACAGGGACAGGCCTCTCCCAGGGCAACATGGACGTCACACATGGGCAGCAGCAACATGTGACCTTCGCCATGGGCTGTTGCGGCATTGGTTCGAATCTAAGCCTCTAAGCGAACAACCGTTCCCCGTCCAGCTTGCCCAAAGAAGGCTTCCTAGAAGCCCACATTCGGTTAAACAGTGTGGTCACACTAGGGGCTCTCACGGTAGTTGTTAAGCGCCGGTCTTTAATCGAGGTGTTGCACAAGGGCGTTTGGCTAACTCGCTGCTATTTACAGCTGTTTACAGTACATCCATGCCTCTCGTAATCCTCGAAGTGCATTTCGACTGCGCAGGCTCGCAAAATATGGTTGGCCGCGGCGGGTGCTTGCCGGAACTGCGCTCTCAGCTGTGGTGCCGTGCGCATTTTCGGACATGGTGGTCACTTTTCGTGGCAGGCGCAAGGGAAATCTCATGTTTTGGTGGTCCAAAGCCGACTTTTCGTGACAGGCGCAAGGGATCGGACCGGCGTTACTTTGAAATGCAGATTCCGTGGCAGGTGCAGCACTTTGGATTTCGTGACAGGTGCAGTGAATCGTGACTTTTGGACACGTGGGTCGTTTTCCGAAGTCAACGGATGTCTCGCGCGAAAGCTGCATGTTGATATCTTGACGTTGTGCTTGGAAGCACTCTTGCGGTAAAGCGCCTTGGCAAAGCTGCGCGATGTGAATCTTGAAGTGCAGATTTCGTGGCAGGCGCGCCACTTTGTGAACCTCAAAGTGCAGATTTCATGGCAGGCGCGCCACTTTGTGAACCTCGAAGTG